CCCGTCCTGCCAAACACTGCATGGAGGTAAGCCAGGCTCTCTTCTGAAATGGATTGTGTAAGTCTTCAAAGTGCTATACAGAATCTAGCTGTGCTATTTTCTCTCAACACTCCCAATTTGCTCTAGCATTGTATTCCACTTAGTTTGTAAGATCTTAAGAGTTACAGCTATCCCTGTTTTACATTAATGGCACTTACTGGGAAAAAGCAATGTCCTGGAATACAAAGATAGAAAAGTTTGCATTTCTTCATCTGTGTTTAGCAACCAGTCTCAAGTCAGCAAACTCAGATGTTCAGAAAGATGAAAAGGACAAAACTGTCAAAACGAGCAAAGTGAAGTAGCTTCAGCTTAGCCTGGTTTCTCATTTGGGCATTTTCTGAAGGTCTGGATTGACTGATCTGTCCCATCAATCAAGGTATGGTACACAACTCAGACCTATAACCTGCTGGAAGGACACAGTGGTCGCGTACAAAATAATCACAGGCAGAAGCCATGATAACTAGCTTCTGATTTCATTATTCATAATCTGCTGTTCCTGAAATGTTTTCACCGTCGGAACATCTCAATATTGTACACAGAATATGGCAGATTTTAAAATCTGAGGGTCCAGTGACTCTTGAGAATTAGTATTTTGTTCTTAACAAAATAGTTTTCTCCACAGTTCAACCAGATGGATTGTGACAGTATATAGGTTAAGTAATGGGGAGATACTCCTGGAAGAACCTACTGTTTGGAAGGAAATGGAGCCGCTCCAAATGGATCTAACTCTACTGCCTGTTGTTGCTGACTTTGTTGTGATGGTACACTTGGCACAACAAGGTCTGTGAAAGGAACTGCCCCAAAATCATCTGTTAATTTTATCCCATCACTAGAATGAACGCTGCCAAGCAGTGAACCCTGTCTAGATCGCCCAGGCACTACAGTGTTGTGGTCCCCACGATTATCAGCCAATCCTTGATGCTGTGGGAGACGCACCAGTTCTGTGGGGTGGAAAGGCTTGGCTCCAAAGGGGTCTAGAAGGCCATCTTCTGCTTGCAATGGGTTGACTCTGTCCTTGCTATCAGTTAGGGCAATACTTATGTTTTCCTTGGAATCAGAGATTGTCATGAACTCATTGCTGCTCTGTGAGTCCCGACGACCAGCTTTTTTGTGCCTCCGGGCTCTTTCCGGTGTACGGTAATTGGGCTTCAAAGTCTTCTTGGTGCTAGTTGGAGTGCCATGATGGCGCTTCCCATTGCTCTTGGATCCCTCCTGTTTCATGCGTCTTTGGCGGGAAGAAAGTTTCTGCAGATTCCGTTGCTGCTGCTTCACCTTCTGCTGCTGCTGACTCCCTGCTATCTCCTCAAATGGGATAAGCCCAAAGAGGTCCTCTTTGTTCTCACTATCCTTTGAGGTGGAAAGAGGCTGGAAAGGAATACAACCAAAAACATCCACGGTTTTGGGAGATAAAGGAGAAGGTGGATTTTCAGAACCTGAAACCAAATCATCTGGCTGAGAAATTTTTCTGCTAAATGGGGCTTTGGTGAAGACATCAAAGTCATCCTGATCTTGCTCTGAGGCTTGAAAAGCAGCCTGGGAAGAAAAATCTCTGCTATCTTTCTGCTTAGGCTCTTGAGTGTGAAGAGAAAAGAATGGAACTGCTCCAAAGATATCAAACTCTTGTTTGGGGCTCTCCTTAGTCACTGTAATTGGCAACTCTGACAATATAGAACACGGAGCAATAGTCTCTTTGTCTGCAATGTTTGAAGTCCCTTCTCTGTACCTACTACAAGGCAGCTCTTTTACAGGTCTATTATGACCAGAATCTGAATCAGAACTTTGTTTATCATCATCTTCTGCATCTTCTTCTGAATCCATGAGAAGAGGATGCTGGCCAAAGTTCTCTGGTTCAGTATCATTGTCATCTATGAAGATTCCATGCCCACCCTGCAAGACTTCATCTTCTTGCTCATCTTCTTCCTCACTGCTTTTAGGAGAAGGAGGGTCTGACTCAAAGTCACTTTCTGATTCATCATTTCCTTTTTTCATGTGTCCTGTCACCTTCTTTCTGGATTCATGGTCCTCAGCAAACTGGGTTGACTTCTCATTTTTAACTGGACTCACTATCTTGTTTTCTAGATTGCTCACCAAATTATTAATTTCATTTCTTGGGGAACCTGGAAGGATGAAGCATATACAACAACTTCAATTTCATCTATCATTTCACCAAAAACTCATGTATGTTTAACCTCTTTTTACTACACACTCAGTGGACTGTATTTTCCAGGACTTCATGATAAACTGAACGCAGTTTATGAGATTAGATTTCTGACTGTGCAGTTGTTATTGTTTTTTGCAACTGCTGTATTGTGGATCTGCATAAGACTATTTTCATATGAAAGAACCTGCAAGTTCAACAACTGGTGAATATCTAGCTCACCAAAACACATTGTGCATAAAGATAATACATCAGTGTATTCTCGAAGGCTTTCACGGCCAGGATCTGGTGGTTGTTGTGGGTTTTTGGGGCTCTTTGGCCGTGTTCTGAAGGTTGTTCTTCCTAACGTTTTGCCAGTCTCTGTGGCTGGCATCTTCAGAGGACAGGAGTGAGAACTTTGTCTGTGCTCTGGAACCCGAAAAACCCACAACAACAAAAATACATCAGATTAGATTTATTGTAATAATCTACAATTTTGTGTTTAATAACAAACAACTTCTGGTAAACTTCCAAACTAGGCATCACAAAATTAAACCCATCCAATTAGAAAAACTGTTATAGTATGAATGTTCTATTCTTTATCATACTGAACAGCAACTAATCTATCCTCTATAACTATTTCCAATGATTCTCAAACTATCCAGTTTGTGGCTATCACTACATCTTGTACAAACTGATTTCATAGAAGTAAATTTTCCTATTATCATCCAGAATCTATCAACCAGTGTCATCTATGCTAGTGTCTTCCCGATCTGTTAACTTTTCACCATAGATGCTAAGGAAGGTCTAACAAGGCTGTCCAATCCTTGTTGCTCCCATTCAAAATTGTAATGACCCTTGCGAGAGAGCTTGCTTCTTCCCCTTAATTAGTACAAACTCAATAAATTCTCCCCATATGCCTGTAAATTCAGCCTTACTTAGCACCCTCTTCTTTATTTTAATATTACACATTATCTTATCATGAACAGTTGTATCCCAAATTTTCCTATACAAATCATTTAATTGGAAATTACATTGTTTTCCAATTTCAAGCTATAATCAACCTTGCCACTGTTAACAATTAAGGTTATATTATACTGTATAGCCAGTCAATTAAGACATATGCTAGATATTACAACTCAATCTAATAAATTAATTTCATTGAATATGGAAACACAAGAATTGTATTTGAACTCTGTAAATATTCTTTTTGTACAATATAAAGATAGCCAATATAGAGAGAGAGAGAATATCCCTTATTTTAAAATATGCTTTTAATCAGGAACAGATGAATCTGGAAATATTTATTCCACCATTTTTTTCATTTGATGATAGAGCTGGAGAAATTGCCAGAAAATTTGAAAGGATGAACTGAGAATTTATTAAGAAAGACACAAGTTAACAGAATAAAACATTGGTTAGAAAAAATGCGGGGGGGGGAGAATAAAAGTAGTTATAAGAATGGATAAAGCATCTTGGTATCTTATTCAATTAGAGTAATGGACAAAGGGTTGGATAAAAAGAAATGGTAAATGGAGGGAATTTACAACATATTTATATCACAAAAAGAAAGTGTAGTTGAAAATAAGGTAATAAAAGGGACAATGGGTAAAATTTACAAACTATTATTGTATTAGACAAAACTAACATTATTTTATTAGCTTATCAGTTGATCAGGAGAAGAACTAGATTTCAAAATCTCCAAACCAACAAATATGGAGTCATAATTCAAAACAAATTTATACCTACGCTTTAAGAAAAATAAGTTAAAAGGAGTAGAAACAAGTAGGCGATTTGAGCTTTGGGCTGTTTCAGGTTTGCTCTGGTGTCAGGGTCTTCTTTGTTTAATACATTTGATCTTATACATTTGAAATTAAACTTTAGATTGATCCCTTCATTTGATAAAGATTTCCCAAAGGAATAGTCACAATGCTGAATGCTAGAAGTCCTCATCATAATCCTGCTGTTTTCCAACATTTGCTTGGATACTGTAATTATTTATGTAGACATGATTACTTTGAAAGATTAAAAGCTTAATCTTTCTACATGAATATAACACAAAATTTTTGTCCAAAGACCAAGTTTTCAAATGGGCTATCAGTGAACTGTTCTTTTACCCACACACAGAAGCATCCAGTAGGCATCTCTATTTGCATGCATTTAAGAGGCTGCTTATGTTAGTCAGCAAAGAACTTATGTGCTGTAGGCAGACGTGCTACATGAAGCAATTATTTATTGGATTTTGAGTCAGGAACTTAGCAATGTACGAGGGCACCTGTATACCCCACATACTTTAACATTTTTAGATTGCTTTTCAGTCTTTTCTAAGACTATACAGTCATAATACTGACTTTTAATATAACTCAGTAGGAGAGCCAACTCACATTTTCCAAGTCCATGTGAGAGTGCGAGCAGCTGAACATTGACAGAATACTGTTTTTAAAATGTATTTTCACACACACAAAGCACTAAACTGATTTGTGAACCCAATTCTTGTGCCACATAAATCCATATTTCATTTAACATAGTTACATTTTATTAATGCCCAAGGGAAGAAAATCTCAAGATCATTTTTAAATTAATACCATAATAATGATGTAAGGAAAAAGTGATTTAAGATTAGCATGCAGAAAAAAGATGTGATTGAAGTAATCTCCAAAATAAAGTGCTGCTATGAACATTTCATATCTAAATTTATGAAGAGCTGAGGAACTTTGTGGCATAACATCTGCTCGCAATGTACTGTGCAGATTACATCACTTCTAATCAGGTTCTCCTCTTGTAGAAGGCTATTGTTCTACTCAAATCCAATGCAGGTAGAACATCTTTAATCATAAGATCCCAATCTTCAAGGAAAAATTCTGTTCTGATGTTCTTTTCTAGAAATCCGATTATAAGAGGATGAATGGCTTGTAACAACTGAAGTAATTACAAGCCTTCTGCTAGTTCATCATTTCAAAGGCTTGGAGAAAACAGAGGCATAACCATTTTAAAGCTCCTTCTGAATTGGTAACATACTGCCATCATCATTTCACAGCAATTTGCCACATGTCAGCTTCACGGATTGCTGAGACACATCAACTAAATCTGCACTATTCTTTGGCAACGGACAGAATAGCAGATGTCATACACTGTGATGGATTATGGGGCTGTTCACTGCTCTCATTTTGAGGCACAGAGAAAAAAAGTGGAAAATCTGTGTTACGTTGTCACATGTTCAAATTTACTGTAAGCTTGCTATGAAATAAATGTAACGGTAACCTCTCAAACTCTTGAGTTCCCTATTATTGATAGTTAACTTATCCACTGTCACAAGCAAGAACAAGTTGAGAAAATTATTTCTCTTCCAAACAGATAACTAACTGCTTTCTGATTTTCTAACACAGTATGTACTATCTCCGGATTTTATATATATATTAACTAATTAATGTGAAAAGAACTCTAATTTCTGAATCCTCCAAATCTGTTTTCAAACATGAGAGCACAGAAGCCTCCTTGAACACATGATTCTGTCATTAGCTTTACAAAAATAACTACAGTATCTTTATAATATACTAGCATTTTCACATAAGGGATTAGGCATTTAAATTCCCTCTCTAATTTTGTTTAATTATGCAAGATCCTCAGCTATTTTACATGCACAGAATTAATATTCTTCTCTGATATTTTAGGAGTCAAATATCAATTCCTAAACCTGCTGTGAAAGGTATAAACATCAGTAATACTGTAGTTAATAAGGTATTTATTGTAAATTTATCTTTAGGTAAAGGTAAAGGTTCCCCTTGACATCCAGTCCAGTCGTGTTCGACTCTAGGGGGTGGTGCTCATCTCCGTCTCCAAGCCGTAGAGCCAGCATTTGTCCGAAGACAATTTCCGTGGTCACGTGGCCAGCGTGACTAGACACAGAATGTCGTTACCTTCCCACTGAGGTGGTACCTATTTATCTACTCTCATTATTAGATGCTTCAAACTGCTAGGTTGGCAGGAGCTGGGACAAGCGACGGGAGCTCACTCCATCACGTGGATTCAATCTTACGACTGCTGGTCTTCTGACCCTGCAGCACAGAGGCTTCTGCGGTTTAACCCACAGCGCCACCACACCCCTCAAAAATTTATGTGTACAGAATCATAAAAATAGGGCTTCAATTCAATTTGTTGTCTTATGCATATTTATAAGGCACTTGTAATTCTCCATTTAGTGTTGATAAAGTCATTCCCTGATTTTTGTGAAGCTGAAACGAACTATCCTTTGGTCAACCTGTTCTAGCATACCTATGCAAATTCACCACTGCTCATTTTGTTCTCTCACTTGACCTGACAATGTTCTAATCAATTCAGCTACTCAGATACTCATTTCCTTGAATGCGCAAATCCTACCATAATAGAAGCCTCTGTCATTATTCCTCAAGCACATGTCTGCAGCAACAGGGAAGCCCCCACAGGAGAAGGCAAGAATTCAAAGGAATGTCCAAAGGTATTAGGAAAAAACAGACTCTTACACAATGGCTATAGTTTTACTGCTGTTCTTCCATGAATAGCTATTGCAAGCAGTAAGGATCACAACAACTCCTCCACTAAGAATCTTTAATTTCTTGTCAATTTGTAACTCCTTATGATTAGCAGCGACTTCAGCCTTTAAATGGAAATAAGCTGAGGGCAGAAAATGCATAAGTATTGTGAAGGCACTTACTAAGAAAACCTCAGAGGAGAGAAGGATGACAGGAGAGTTCCTGGACATTCTGGCTAGGTATTCCCTCCCCCACACCAGCTCCATCAGGCTTTTCTCTTCCCATCAACTATAAATTAGCATCAGGCACTCCATAAGATAGCAACAAAAAGAAAGGAAAAGACCTGCTCTATTTGGCTGCTTTTTCTCATAGTGATCCCACTCTAGATGGTCAAAAAACCACACACACACACACACACAAACAAAAACAAACAAAGAAACCTGGTGTCTGTATTTGATTGCTTCCCCTTCCCTCCTTGTCCTTCTTTTATTGTGTGATATATCTTCCAAATTGTAAGCCTGGCTATCTTGTGTTTATTGTGTTTATTGATTTTATACAAACTATGTGGGGTCCTCTGGAGCCCAAAAGGGGCAAAATATTTACTTTTAAATGTGGAAATAGTCCCACAGGTTCACATTATAGTACGTAAATTAATTTCTTCAGACATTCTTCTTAAGAGAAATCAAACTGATAATAATAGGTTGAAAAACACTTATAGCTCAAAACAGAACAGGAACATGTACATTTTTGGTAAACTAAAGAGAAGAAATTACTATAAGATACAATTGAGCAATATAACTTACGTTGTTTATTGTGATACATGAAATTTCATCTTAGCTATTTTAAAAGTTATATAAACTGCAGCTGACACATGCTCTGGCTCTTGCAATGCTCCACCCAAGAAACACTGTGACGCTGCACTCCTTCTTTCCAGGAAAGACATCACAACAGTGGGGAACACTACCCTGGCTGCATGTATTGCCAGATGCAGGGATTCTGCGTTAACCTATCAGTTGCCTTTGAACTTCCAGGGCTGAGCACACGGATGGACAGAATACTAACATTTGCTAAGTTATTTACAGCACCTCTAGCGGTGCAAGACCATCAGGATAGGAAGATCATAACTGACTATAAATGTCTATCTGTCACTCACTATTTAGCAAACTGATCGCCTTCTACCTTTTCTCTCCATTTCCAATTCCTTCCTGCCTGGCCTGACCTGACGTCATGGCCTATAATTTGTTTTAGCTGATGTACGCCACTTTTAGTGTCTGGAAAGCAAAAATAGAAGAAATAATAATATAACAAATATCTATTCCTATAATATGCCCTTCCTGGTATATTCATTTCTCCATTCAATTCTCATTACATTATATATAGGTATGTAACTCAAAACAATTTTTAGAGAGCTAAAATTGGGTTTCTATAAATTAGCAAAGGTATACATGATATGAAATAATTAAAGTAGAACTGCCTAATTTGTAAAGATTAATAATCTATGTCATTGCATATATGCAGCATACATGCAGCATACATGGTACACTACTAGTAGTGACAAGGAGGACAGGAAAACAAGGCTGAATTATAGTGAAACTGCAACTGCTTGGCACAGACAACAAGCATACATGAAAGTACACAGCTTAATGCTTTCAGTACAATAAGGACAAGTCAACCCTTCTTTAACTTCTAGGGGACACAGGAAAAGGCTGGAAGTAAACAGAGTGGACAACTTTAGGACTCCTGCAAAAGTCTACAGAAATGAAAGAAGAAATCTAAAGGCCAAAAGCAGTATTCCAAAGAAAGCAAAAGGACAAAATGGAATGGGATATAAGGAAGGCGAATCAGTTGAGGGAGAGGACTATTTCGAGATCAGACCACTGTAATGCGCTCTATGTGGGGCTACCTTTGAGACTGATGCGGAAGCTTCAAATAGTACAGAATGCGGCAGCCAGACTACTTACTGGAACAAGAAAATATCACCGTATCTCTCACATTCTGGCTGCCTTGCATTGACTGCCCATTAGCTTCTGCATTGATTTCAAAGTGTTAATGATGACATACAAAGCCCTAAACAGTTTAGGACCTCGATACCTAGCAGAACGCCTTCTCCCACCTAGATCTATTCAAGTCACTCGCTATAGCCAGGAAAGACAACTGAGGGGCCTAACACTGAGAGAGGGCCAAAAAGAAAGAACAAGAAATCGGGCCTTCTCAGCAGTGGCCCCTCAGTTGTGGAATACTCTACCAACGGAAATCCGCCTGGCTCCCTCGCTGGGTGTTTTTAAGAGCCAATTAAAGACTTGGCTCTTTAGACAGGCCTTCCCTCCTACCACTACTTGATTTGGCCTTTTCTTTACTTCTTCTGCTTGGCCTTTTCTTTACTTTTCCATCTTGATTAACATTAATATTGTCAATTTAAATTATTGTTTTAACTGTTTTTATGTATGATTCTGATGTGAACCACCCTGAGTAGATGCAGTCTAGAAAGGCAGAATAAAAATCGAATAATAAAATAAATAAATAAAAATATTTAATACAACTGAACATCTGGAAAGAAAGGAAAAGTCCATGCTAAATAGGAGGGGAAAGACAACAAAAACTAGTTTGTTAAAACAAAACATTAATGACAATTTAGTGGCACAACTAACTTCAGATGAAGAGAACCCTTTGCAGCTAAGATACAGTAAATACTCAGACACTATTAATTCTGAAATCCAAACAAATATGGAAGAGAGTCTATGAAGTTTAAACTCTTAAGAACATGTAGGTATTAATTCACAGGATGTCTCCTATCTCTGACTTTCCAATAGGTTCTTAGGAGACACAAATAACTAAAACAATTCATTCTGAGAGTTTATATAACTTATCAGACATTGAATACACAGAGTGTAGCAAAAAAAGAACACATATAAACACCATATAAGGACTAACACAATATAATTAATTCTGTTTAGTAGGCTAACCAGAGGAAGGAAGTCTTTGGAAATTCAGTATCAGATGGCAAATGTTAGGTCTCAGGAATGAAAAAAAAATCTTGACTTAGACTGGATTAAAGAAATGAATTAATTTAGTTCTCTGGAAAGCTTGACTTCAAGAAAGAATCTGTGCTATTTAATTAGCCCCATTGCTTTTCTATCAACTTATATTTTTTGAGAAGAAGTGATGTTACATTATGTAACTTGCCTGGGTGAGAAATGAAAGGTACAGAACCAAAGGGATCTTCTGGAGGATGGTTCTGTGGAGCAGAATGTGGCTCCACAATCTTATCTGAGGATGTTCTCCTCTCCACGAGCCTATCTGCAAAAATAAAAATGAAACAAAACAAAAAAGTAAAATAAAAATGGCAGCTATTTATGCCCATTAAAAATATTCTTAGTTCGTCTATTGCCTGTTCCTTAAAGAGGTCATAGACACAGTAATATTACCCAACTTTCTTCCTACAAGCTCAACTAAAACAAGACTCACAGAAACAGACAGACGGACCATAAAAGCAAACTCAAGACCAATATTCCCATACCCAGCGATTTAGTCTGGCCAGACGGCAGATCACAATCCCCTTTCCAGAAACTGCCCACCTTCCAGCAAGTGCCCAAGGCAAGATTAGTTGTACTGATATGGAACAGCCACAGAAAACATGCTATTACAATGAGGATGTCAAAGCTGATAACTTTGTGAACATTCAAAATGTGTTCAGAACTCAGTAAGGTATTCAAACTAATTGAATAAAGTTTTCCCCAAAAAAACACACACACAAAAACCCAAAAAACAATTGGCTTTGCCCTTTTGCAGTAGGCTGCAGGTATGCTATTAGTTCTAATGCATGACAGTTAGCCATTCAAAATTAAACGTCATGCAGGCACAAGAATTTGACATGCCTGCCTACAGCAGCTTTTTGTGTTCCAGCTGTCTCAGTCCCAGTCATGATCATATTGGCATGCATGGGCAGAAGGCTGTTCCGTTAACAGGAATTTTCACTCATTCCTTACCACTCTAGTCCCTGACATGTCCCCAAATAAACTCCTAAGGCTCCCAATTCTCCACACACTGCAAGACACCTCTGCCAAACTTTCATCTTCCAATTGTAGATCTTGGGAACAACTTTTCAGATTATGTGAAATAGAAAACTTATTTTTCCTGCTGAAGATAGCTGGATCCACATCACCAGGTTACATCTAGAGTTCTTCTGCAAACAAAAAAAATCTTTCTTCTGCAGAAGAAAATTAGCAGCAGAGAAAAGGGCTAGGGAGAGTACTTTTCACTGACTCCTTTCCTTAAAAATTTTATTTACCATCCCCCACACTTTTTGATGGCTCCCAAGGAAGGAATAATCCATAAAAATTAATTCCTCCATCTCTGTTCCTCTAGCAAGAACACATCATTAAGAGTTTCACTGATGAGAATCCAGGACACAACCCAGTACCTTTAAAAATTAGTTTTAAAGCTCTCACACCAAAATAAATTGTTAAAACAGTAACAATATCAACATTTTAAATAGCAACCCTAGAACTGCATAGCTCTTTTGTCTGTAGTTGCCTCAATTGCACAGAGCCAACTAGTTAGCACAGGAATTTGATTTGCTGCTTGAATTACACATGTTAAATATTCACAGACTAGCATACAGGGATGAGGAAGGTGTGAATATTTTAATTAATATACACATTGTTAAGGGACAATACAACTTAGACAATAAGTTCTGTAACTTTTCTTAACCACAGTGCATGAGAAAAAAAATTCTAATGCAAGACTTTGTATAAGTGAACATATTGTTTTGGAAAAGCAATGCCATGCTTGTGTTTTCTAAGTTTTATTTTTTTTTCCCCACAAAAAAAAGGCCAGGGAAACATTCAATAAATTGATTTTCCATACAGGAATAGAATACAAATTATTATGTATATTGGCTGTAGTTATCATTCTCACATTACACAACGTATCTTACAAAGAGGAATAAATCAAACATTCACAGCCTGTTTTTTATGCGATAATACTTTACTATATCATTAATTATATAAAAGCCATTTTCCCTTTGTAAATAATAAAGAATGTTTACAAAGGCTCATATTTTACAGACCCCAAATACTATAATATCCATAGGGAAAAACTGGTGTGTGTTTAAAGTTTAAACATCACAAAGGATAAAAGAAAACAAGCTAAATATAGAAAGTTCTAAGAGTAATAAAAAATATTCATGTAGTACCCATTCCAGGTTAGCCCTACTAATGACTTCTTCAGACTTTTTTCCTGGATGCAAGAAAAAATATTTCTTATAGAAGCAAATCAATGAAGTCATTCATCACACTGCAACAAAACATGCAGCTGTTTTTCTTCTGTCTCTTAGATAATTAAATGTAAGGAACAAAACAGAAGTAGTGAAAAATAAAACTGGAGTTTTCCCAGTTTACTACCAATGATAATGACATTGCTCTACAACATTATTACTAGACACTGCTCTATACATTTACTAGAACTTGCTCCTGGTTCTATATAGGACATTTAATTTTTCTATCAGGCCTATTTTAAATGCCCATGAATGCAGGTGCAGACTGCATGTGAATACAGTCTGCACCTACAGACTGTATTTCATGTGCCAAATTTCACAATCAGTGGACTACTCAAGTAAAAGAAAGCCTGCCAATGGGAGGGCCAGTTATTTTGCTTTTGCTGTATATATCTTATAAATTTAGTAAATATCTTATTATAAATACAGAGCTTTCAACATGCTGTTCATGTCTTGTACAGAACAAGTGCTACAGATGCAAAGGCTTCTCATCTGACAAGAAAATTCTCAGCACACAATGGAAAACATTTGAGGATATGTGAAGTGCTGTATTAAACAGATAGGGAGCAAACCTAACACTGGGGCCACACAGAACTGGGAACTAAATGCAGAACTTTGCTATTAAAGTTACATAGTACACACATTTAAAAAATCCCTGTCAAACTAACCCAAAAGTATCAACAATAAACATTCTGCCTTGTCATCCAAATTTATCTGATCAGAGTCCCCTCTTTTGTCTCCTAGTTCTTTTGCAAAACACCTTAGATTCCCTTTGATCTATACAATATTGACAATATGGAGTAAGTTAGTAACCATGAACTGCATAGAGCAAACAGCTAAAAGTTTCAGATATGATTCTTAGATGAATTTTCTATACTGATGTTATTCTCTAAAGCCATCCATTAATTCTGTCAAGGCATAAAAAGCTATTTTTTGGATTTTTAAAATGAAAACCATTTTGCAATTTGTTCTTTTTTATCTAATAAATATTCAGATACATCAAGTACAACTAGATACATTCTTTTAAGATTGGAGTTTCCACACCTCCTGTTAATACTCTTTAGGATACTTGAATTCTGTTAAAACAAAGAATCTTGCAGCATCTTAAAGACTTCCACATTTTAACCCGCATTAAGTGTTCATGAACCTAAGGCCTTTTGTTCAGATGCAGTGTGAATTTAGTTAAATTTCTTAAAGAGCATAAATAAAGCCAGAGATGTAAAAGCAAGGTAAAATGAGGCAGCTGACAATAGAAATATGTGTTTTTTCAAACTTATCTAACACTGAAAACATGCAATATATTCATTTCACTTTAATGCAAATTTTAAACATCCCCAATTAAGTTCCCAAAATCCATATCAAAGCTAGTAATCAGAACTACAGCTCACAGAATGTACGTTTTGTTCTTATACAAGATTCATTTTTCCCAGGAAAACATCCTTCCAATTTTGGGTGCTTCTCCTTTATGTGGAAAACACTACATTGATGGAAAAATTCCACTAATTATTTTGCCCACAATTAAGTCAATTGTTTTCTACAACCAAAGCCCAGTTAATATCTCCTCTCCTCCCACACAGAGGCGAAAGGAAAGCATGGAGTCCCAAGACTTTTGCACAGGTTACTGCACCTGAACTGAGCCCACTGAATCTTTAAAAATAATATTACTTTCATATTATGATACCAGAAATACATAGTTTCACCAACCACAAGTGTCATTTACTTGGGTTGAGATCTGTTTCTGCAAAATTCAAAGCCTATTTTATTTCTCCCACATTGTGTATCTTCCTCTGCAATTTGTTTCTATAAAAATTACATACAAAGAAAAGAGGAACAGCAAGTGATTTCAAGTAAACACACTGGCTTTTTGACTTGAAGTGAGTTTATTCAACTATAGTTGTTTCAGAACAATAAAGCAGCCTTTAACATTAAGCCACTGAAAAGACATTACAAAACATTAACATAATGTACTAAGGTCATTTATTCTCTTTCAGGCATTTTCAAAAGGCATTCCAGACCCACGGACTCTCCTGTTCTGGTGTGCAAGGGAGCAAATCTGCAAGGTGAAGTAATGAAAACAGCTGACTGCTATTCTCTATTATTAAGCATCCTGTTATTTTTCTTCATTTTGCATCTGGCACTCAAGAAAGTAAGTATTCAGGTGATAACCTTGGTATTTTCTGTGGTTCTATAAATGCTAAGCAATTATGTTTCTATTGCACACACTTTTGTGAAAGAAGCACAAGACACACAGAGGGCCTCGTTCTGCCCTCAAATGCTTAGAAAGAGTTTTCTCTACAACAGACTGTGTTGCCCTTGAACAGAACTGTCTTTGGCATTGCTGGCTGTACCTAAAGAGCTCTTATTTATTGTGAAGCAAAATAAGCCTTCAAGTGTCCCTTACTTGATCTCAGGAGGTCAAACTCCCTGTCCAACAGCTCCTCTTCTGTTAGCTTGGAGAAATTGTCTTCTCCAAAGGGATTCCAGCCAGACATGTCAGGAGGGTTATTGATGTTTTGTTTTGGATAGCTGGGAACAGACTCTGCATCAGAGGAAGATGACCTGTAAAAATTATAGGGAAAATGACTTAAAATGACATTATGCGTAATTAAAATACAGTGAATAAAGAACAATGTTGACAAGATGAGATGATTAATCTGATCATCTGTGGTTGTGAGAAAACATTAGGAAGAACTTTACTTAAGAGTTTGTACTGACAAATAACAATTACATTAGACAGTATTAATAATATAATGCTTACTTGTCAGTACCTTCAGCATTTAATTGGTCTCTGACCTCCTATGTCTACAATCTCACTTGAAACATATATACTGTGCAAGTACTCCATACATTTAAAGAAAGGTCATTCTCCAATAGATGTGTTTACCTTTAAAATGCAATACGACTCTCTGTTGCTTGGTACAATGTTTAACCAGGATGCCCCAGAGCAATCAGAGTGGCCTTAAGTTGGGGAAGCACAGCTGTCAAGCCTATCTCTGCAACTATTACTATTACATCAATTGACGATGCTTGCCTATTTGTCGAATAAGGAGTGTCCAGAGCTGCACCGACATGAGCTGGAAAGGACTTAGAATGAGACATTAAGGCTGGTGAAAACTCCTGGGGAGAGGCAAGGAATTCAGGAGAATGTTTCTGCGGTGGTAACTGCTTCGGAAGGACTTGCTGCTGTAGAAGAGCTTGTTGGTACTGCTGCATCTCAAACAAAAAGAGGAAAATGTCAACCTTGTTGAATTTTACCTCATATAAATGTTTCATAATTTGCTGAATTTCACCTTATTCAAAAACTGAACTCTTTAACATCCATTACAGTACTCAGGCAACTGCAACACAGAAGTGTGTGTACATCTAAGCACTAAACTATACTTACTACACATGTCAATAAAATTAGTTGAGAGACTGAGGAGGCCAATGAAGAACTGCAACACAATTAAATAATACATTGGCCACCCACTTAATTGCATATTATACTAACCATTCAATTTTTGCATTATAAAATCATCTTCACTAAGTAAGTTACACACTGAAAAATATTTCAATCCATTCAGCACAAATCACAGAGGAAAAAGCCTAATTCATCTGACTAGTGAACAGACTCCTTTTTTGGTTCCAGAAAGTAATGTTGAACTCAGAATGAATGAGTACAATAAATAAAATCCCATCATTTCTTCCTTCACTGCAGTATGCACCAATTATTCTGTTAAAATGTCAAAACTAAAAAGCAATGAGTAAAATCAAGCTAAGAAAATGAACTACAAACACAGATGGTTTAAACTTTATTAAAATAACCAACAAACTACTGCCCTTTTATCTTTTTGACATTATGTTTATCATTAAAACACACTTAGGAAGAATAAATCTATAACCAAAGCTCACTTACCATGACAGGATATGGGGATGAAGAAGGTTGCTGTTGCTGCACAGAGTGCATCAAAAGCTGCTGCTGCTGAAGAATGTGTTGCTGCACTGCTTGTTGATACTGCATTTAAAAAGGGACAGATTTTGATAAATCATAAGCATCACATAATAAAGTGAAACTCCACCAAAAAGGTGTATTTTGCAAACTGAGCAGCATTTGAACAGAAGCAAGAAGCAATACTGGATGAGAGCTTTGCAGATACCCTAGACTAACAGAAAGATTAACGAGTGGGTCTTAGAGCAAATCAACCCTGAACTATCACTGGAGGCAAAAATTATGAAACTGAGACTGTCCAACTTTCAGCACTTAATGAGAAGCAAGCTTCTCTGGAAAAGATAACAATGTTGGGAAAGGCTGAAGACAGCAGGAAAAGAGAAAGACCAAATATGAGATGGATTGACTCCCAAAAGGAACCACCGCTTCGAATTTGCAAGAGCTGAGCAAGGCTACTGAGGACAGTACCTTTTGGAGCTTGCTCATTCATAGGGTCATTACATGTCAGAGCTGACTTGGTGACACATAACAATAATATATTCTGAGATAACTGTAAAGCGTTATTAAAAAAAGGAAGGGACCAAAAGCAATCCAGTTGTTTTCCATCACAGAGCATGTGACAAAGGACTCAAGTTTGCTTTATCCAGTGCTCCTTATCATCTAGGTAGGTATAACATTCTCCTGAGAAATCTATATGTGAGACAGGAAGCAACAGTTAGAATGGATATGGAACAACTGAATTGGTTCAAAATTGGGAGAGGGGTACAGCAAGGCTGTATAGATTGGGAGAGGGGTACAACAAGGCTGTATAGTGTCAACCAACTTATTTAACTTATATGCACAATGCATCATGCGTAAGGCACGACTGGATGAATCCCAAGCCAGAAGACTGCCGAAAGAAATATTAGAAACCTCAGATATGCAGATGATACCACTCTGATGGCAGAAAGTGAGGAGGAATTAAAAAACCTCGTAATGAGGATGAAAGAGGAGAGTGCCAAAAATGGTCTGAAGCTCAACATAAAAAAAAAAAAAACACCACAAAACACTCAGATCATGGCCACTGGTCCTATCGCCTCCTGGCAGAAGGGGAAGATATAGAGACCGCTGAAGAATTGATGCTTTTGAATTGTGGTGCTGGAGGAGACTCTTGAGAGTCCCCTGGCCTGCAAGGAGATCAAACCTATTCATTCTGAAGGAAATCAACCCTGAGTGGAAGGCCAGATTGAGAAGCTGAGGCTCCAATACTTTGGCCATCTCCTGAGAAGACTCCCTGGAAAAGACCCTGGTGTTGGAAAAGTGTGAAGACAAGAGAAGGGGACATCAGATGATGGCTGAGATGATTGGACAGTGTCACCAAAGCTACCACCAAAAAATTGACCCAACTCTGGGAGGCAGTGGAAGACAGGAGAGCCTGGTATGCTCTGGTCCATGGGGTCACAAAGAGTCGGACACAACTTAATGACTAAACAACAACAAAGCATAACACAAGAAATGGCATACTTCCAGTCAGACACCCCTTAGAACTATAAAAATGCACTGTGTCAGTTTCTTTCTTTAATGAACTAGTTAAGGTGAGGAAAAAATGGAATAAACAGTGCATAAATCTAAATGGGTTAATGTGACACTATCTGGACCTTCCATAAAATTCAATGTTTCAGGCAGGGCAACTTCATAATCTAATTTAAACATCTCACATACATTACTCTCCAAACACAATATATGAGTCAACTGCAACCAAATATATATGCAAGTTTCATACATAACAAAGGTGAATTTAAGAGCAGCTTACACTGCAGTCAAAAGGCATGGGTACCTGTTGCATGTATGCATCCTGAAGCAAATGCTGCTGTTGCTGATGGTGATGTAAGTGGTGCAACTGTTGTAGCCTCCAATCACCTTGTTGTAGTTGTTGCAGTACTCTGTTTTGCTGCGGGGTTGGATTACTTCCCTGGGGCAATATACTTTCTTGACTATTTCCAGGTTTTGAGGCTCCTAGAATATTTTTAAAGTAGATGTCTGTTTAATGCATTTCTACACTCTAAGTCCCCTGGCAAATCTGAATGGGGAGGCATACATGGCCCAGTCTTGCCAAGGTTACGGCCCGGTACTGGGCCACAGACCGGGAGTTGGGAACCCCTGTTCTAATGGACATTCAGTATATTGGTGCTTAAACTGTTACTTCTCCCTGTTTTTTTCCCTATTTTCAAGGTTATGTCTCTTGGTTCCGAAGTAACCTCTACCAGGCAGTTCATTTCTGTTCAAATTTCCATGGTATAATTACATTTCACATTTTTAGAATAACATCTCATTTTCACAAAATTCAAACTGTGACAGTCCCCTCCCCTCAGTCAAGTGAGTATAAAGTTTGTAGGTTTTCTCTGTTGTTGCGGTCCAGTTTCTCAAACGGGCCTACTCTTAACTCTGACTTATTTTAAAAGTCACACTTAAAGTAGGCCCATCAGTAGAACATTTAGTGCAACGGACTCACTGAATCACTATTGATTCAATGGGCCTACTATAGTGTGATCTATTATGCTGCGCAACAGGATTTTGATCAGTCACTATTAAATAATGATGTATGTTGTTCTTGCATGTCGTGGGATATTCATATAATTCTCTGCAATTCAACATCACTTCTCCAAAAAGAATTTTCCATTCCAATAATTTGTGTGAGCAAACACATTACCCAGAACAAAAGAAAATGTTGGTAACCAGAGCTTTACATTTTCTACAATGACATCTCACAACAGCGCCATAGGGACAACTGTCCCTCTACTGTGTTGAAAGCAAAACAATGAAGTATTTTAAAAGAGTTCACAATAGTTTTACATTGATTAACATGAATTTACAACTGCCAAACCCTTCACAAAGAGCAGCTTTAAAATAAAGCATTTAAGTTATTTTTCCCTCAATGTGTAACATAGATGGCTTTTTAAAAATTTGTACATTTCAGAAGTTACCTTTCTGTCCACTGTTAAGATCACCAAGGACTGGCACTTTGACTGGTGTTGCTGAGCTCTGGATTGTTAATACACTAGAAGTGGCAGTGCTTGTATTAGCCTTTGGTCTTTGTCGTGGTGCTATTGAGGTTTCTGTTGGTCCAATGGCATCTGTTATTCTAGAATGAAAAGATAAGACACCTTGTCTGTATTTCAAAAAATGTTAGAATAAAGAGTTGTCTTGTTTTTAATCATTTCCAGTTACATCTTATACTAATGAGGGAAGCCCATCCCACCTAAAAATCACAACGTTCTGCTCCAGACAACTGGGAAATCTTCCCCAGTACTGTAGTTACAAGTATCACAAAAGGATGAGGGGAGAAGCACAAGCACTACATGAGTAAGAAATAAATTGCCTGCTCTGAGATCCAGCAATGGGCATCTTCCATCAGTGCAAGGACCCAACTGGTTCCTGGGGCATCTGCCATAACGACCCAGGAATTTCACCCAAGTAACTGTATTGGAAGGGGAACTACATTTTTTTATGCTGGAAAGGAACATGATAGTCAGCCCCTCCTCCAGCAGCTCACGGCATTTCTATGCCATTCCTATGTTGGGGAATCCCCCTTAGACCACCAGTGGAGTCATGGAAAATGTTTCAAAACTGTTGACTGTTGTATAGTTTTAGATATTGGGGGTCCCTATGGGGAGAAAAACCACATATAAATAATATAAAATAAACAGACTGAGAGACAGGCAGAATGCTTCTCTCAGCAATCCAAAGCAGTTCCACACTGGACGCTCATGTCTCTATGTCCAACCTAAAAAGCAAAAGAACTGATGATGGAAGGTACATTCCCACCCTCTGCCGCCAACATGCTTTATTTGTATTCAAAAGTCATAGTCAGAGAACTTCCTGCATGTCTAAAAAAATATTACAGACTAGTGGATAAGAAACAGCATACTGTGCCTGTCTAACCTGTGGGAGCAGATAACGAATACTCATTTCTAGGCGGCAATGCTTTTTTTTTTTAATTCATGAGAAAGGCTGGAAGAGAATACTCTACCGATCTTCCACCAAAGTTTACCTTTTTTTTTAATCACAGAAATAACATGTTATAAATAATGTCTCAGTAATGATACTGAGGGTTTAGGAAGCTTTTATATGTTCAAAGGTGATTTTTTTAAAAAAAATGCAAATTAACTTTAAAATGATAGGCAAATTCTTGTTGACATAGTGATTCCAGCATAAGCCAGAACAGGGCACAGGAAGTAATTCACTAAATTTAGTTAAAAGCTTCCTGTGCCCCCATTTCAGGATCTAAGGCTCCCTAAGACTCCTTTTTTACCCTGGGAGAGCCTTTGACCTCGGGAGGAGCAGGGGCCCTTTTATAGTCAAAAATTGCTGCCAGATTGCTGCCACTGAGTTCATGATGTCTCCTGAACTGGTGTTCCAGCAGTGATTTTGTTTCCTGTCACATGCCCCGGTAACCTAAGGCTCCAAAGGCTTCCCTAGGGCAAAGGGAATCCTCAAGACTTGAAATGTGGATACAGAAAACTTTCAATTATTTTAAGTTAATTATTTCAGTATCCTCATCCATTTTATGTTGGAATAACTGCACCAACAGAATTTTGCCCAATGTGTCCATAATGTAACATTAAAACAAAGAATAACAAGGAGGCGGTTTAATTCCAAAATTAATAGCAAATGCCAGCAACTTCCTTTATAAAATAGAATTCCAAGCTTCATTTTAAAAAAACAAACGTATTTGCAATCTAATAACCTTTGAGAATAATTCAAGTTAATTTAAAATGCACAATCATATTTATAAAAGTACACCTTGTATTTCTTTTTCTGTTTAAGAAATACTTTATTCAATTTCATAATCTTTCACTATGCACAACCACCACAAGAGGGGGCATGCACAACATTCTTTCCAAAAGCAGCAAAAACTATCATCTTAATATGCATGCCTTTCACCACATTCATATTGTATTTGTAAAATTTGCTGAATACACAAATCTACACTCATGTGCCCCTTCATAGATTCCTGCCTTGTCGTGGCGAAGGGGCTTGAGTAATTCAGAGAAGCTATGGGCCATGCTATGCAAGGACACCCAAGACAGACAGGTCATAGTGGAGAGTTATGACTAAATGTGATCCACCTGGAGGAGGAACTGGCAAGCCACTCCAGTATCTTTGCCAAGAAAACTCCACGAACAGAAACAAAAGGCTAAAAGAGATCACTCTGGAAGATGAGCTTCTCAGGTCAGAAGGCGTCCAACATGCTACTGAGGAAGAGCGGAGGACAAATACAAGTAGCTCCAGAGCTAATGAAGTGGTTGGGCCAAAGCCGAAAGGTCACTCAGCTGCGGATGCGCCTGGAAGGGAAAGGAAAGTCCGATGGTGCAAAGAATACTGCATAGGAACCTGGAATGTAAGATCTACGAACCTTGATCAGCTGGATGTTGTCAAACAGGAGATGGCAAGAATAAACATTGACATCCTGGGGGTCAGTGAACTAAAATGGATGGGAATGGGCAAATTCAATTCATACGATTATCATATCTACTATTGTGGGCAAGAATCCCGTAGAAGAAATGGAGTAGCCCTCATAGTCAACAAAAGAGTGGGAAAAGCTGTAATGGGATACAATCTAAAAAATGATAGAATGATGTCAATACGAATCCAAGGCAGACCTTTCAACATCACAGTAATCCAAGTTTATGCACCAACCACCAATGCTGAAGAGGCTGAAATTGACCAATTCTATGAAAACATACAACACCTTCTAGAACTGACACCAAAGAAAGATGTTCTTCTCATTCTAGGGGACTGGAATGCTAAAGTAGGGAGTCAAGAGATAAAAGGAACAACAGGAAAGTTTGGCCTTGTAGTTCAAAACAAAGCAGGGCAAAGGCTAATACAGTTTTGTCAAGAGAACAAGCTGGTCATCACACACACACTTTTTCAACAACACAAGAGGCGACTCTACACATGGACATCAGCAGATAAGCAATACTGAAATCAGATTGATTATATTCTCTGCAGCCAAAGATGGAGAAGCACTATACAGTCAGCAAAAACAAGACCTGCAGCTGATTGTGGCTC